CCATGTAAGCACAACATCGCCACGAGAATACAGATTGCATTATACAGTTTATCACAACTCAACTTCTTCCTTATGCGCAGACCACTGAATTCTCGCGCGCGCCCTGGTATCAAAGGGAAATGCTTCATGTCTGAAAGCTTCAAGGGATTGTTACGTGGATGCCAAACTATACATGGTCACTCCAAATTTCTAAGTTGATTGGTATGTGCCCAAGTTGTGAATGGACTCGTCATCATACCCTCCCCACCCCTCTCATGATGTTGGTCGTGCCGAAATAGTCCTCAATGCCGCTAACCTCGGCTTCGCCTACGGGAGTGCATGTCTTGGTCGATCTAGTACGTTCGATTGGCGAGGAGTACTGTCGGCCTGGCACTATTATAAAATACGCGGCATTGAGAGGTGTCTGGTCGCTGTTAACGAGTCCTTGCTGAGGCATAACCCGGATGTACCCTTGGAGCTGAAAGATAGTTTGTCTAAGGCTCCCCCAAGAGACGGTATGAAGGATTTGGACGACTTGCTCACTATTCGACTGGCCATGGTAAACGATGCTCAGTTCGTTGACAATGATAACTACAGGGATTGGGTTGAACGGTTGCAAGATGACAAGGAAACGCTGAAATGGTTCTTGAACGAAGGGATGAAAAACCATTGTTATTACAGCATGTCAGCTGATGGTGAATTTACTCCAGTCTTATCCGCTCCCATGCCTCGATCTGCAATGGATATTGATGAGGACTTGAATGGTGACGACAACGATGCAAAGGACGACGAGGTTATCCCTGTTGGGTTCAGTGGCTATCATCTCGATAATCAACAGGACGCTAGTGCTATTCCTGGTACTGTCACTGAGCCTCACGTCATGAAACACTTTGGAGGTAAAGCAGCGAGACCTTACCGAGTATCAAGGCCCAGTTATGGCACAGGTCCGAGGAAGCACCCAACAGGTCCATACATGCATCCTACGAGAGCTGCTAATTTCTCTAGGAGTCATCGGACGGAGCCTCCCGTTATGAACTCCGTGACTCAGTATAAAGCCGTTAATGACTCTTGGGAGGATGGTGCGATCAAATTGGGCAGCTTTCATGTTAATAGTTCTTCTTCAACGCCAACGACCAAGAAGTCGCGAAATTGTCGCGGGGTGGGTGTGGCAGGCAGGGTCAATCCAGTCCAGCAAAGAGTTGCATCTCAGTTCCTTCAACAAAGTACTCCTGTTCATCGTTCGGGATGCGGCTGCCTTCAGCCATTCTGTGGTGGTGGTGGATCAGTAGTTAACGGTGGTGTTGAGGAGTCTTGGGATGACAACACTGTGGCGTTCGTTACTAAAGATGGATTTGATTCTCATTGAGGTAGGATTCGTATAAGTAGTATTGCGTAGCACTATTTTCTCTCACATACCATTTAGCTCTAGTGACTCCGGTGAAGTGTTGCGTGAAGTAGGAGTTGCAGACGGGGCAGTCGTCTCAGTATTTTTTCGTACACCTTCACGCTCATGGACGTTGTTTATTTCGACACTATTGGTGGGGACCTAGATCCAACGGCAGTAGCGGCTCGGTGCCTTGCCGAGCTTGTCAACGAACATAAAGGAACAGACTTCATCACCTTCACTCGATGTAATAATGCAAGACATTAAGATTAGCTCAAAACTAAGGAACTCACAGTATTTCGCTATGTTCACTGCGTTGTCTGTCAGGCTCGTTCCCTTCGACGGCGTGGCTTGGGGATCTTCCCGCTGCCTGCATTCGGGAAGCTCCTAATGATCAAGGTTTGTATGCTGTTGGGGATATAGTGCGAGGAAGGGATCTGTTGGAGGCCATGTCGCGTAATAAGGGCAGAGGTTGAGAAACTTCGAGCTATTGGGTCGTGGAAGACTGTTCTGCGCCAAGCACTTGTCATTGCTAATGTGCTCATAGTAATTCTAGAATATCGCGATGGTCTATGTGTCTCATATCGTTGTTCCTCGCTCTAGTTTTCCTCCAAGACGGTCCTATTCCTCCGAAAGATGCCGCCTTCTCTGCATATTTAGAAGTCGAATTTGCACGATGCCTGGAGTGAGTCCCACAGCATATAAGTGCACACATGAACACGTCCTCCCAGATACATACTGTGGGCTAATGACACCGTATTTGAGAACTATACTCGGGAAGTATACGCTACGACTGTTCATAACTTCATCCTGCGGAACTTTATGTAATCTCTTTCTTTGAGGAGATCTGTCCGAGGAGTCCTTCTGTTAGGTTAACCAGTTCGTCCGAGCGAACGGCCCGATCTAGACATAGCGGCATTCCAAACATGTCTGTGTGTGTGGAGCGTCTCGAGCAGGTAAGTGCATAATAGGTGGTTATATGAACTACGTCGTCCAGATACTCAATCGCCTTAGTCGTTGGGCTCTATCCCTCGATTATGGCACTCTGCTAGACTCCACGGAGCACGGTGATGGTAATGGCCATTGTAACGGAGGGATGAATGGTGATTGCACATGGACGCCCTCGAAGGTACCATTAGTTCAGTTCGAGAGTCTCGGCAGTGCTAGTGTCTTCAGCTCGTAGTCAGCGAAGCGTTCGGTTACTTGGCAGTTCTATTGTCTATACCGTTGCCTCGTGTGGAGAAGAAACTGAGGCTACTCCTGCAGGACCAACGGTGGCAAGGACTTCATGACTTCTGTCGAAAGGTTATATACAACACATATATATACATACCGTTACCACTTCTCTGTCAGATCGAGGGGAGGGTGTCTGTCTTCCACGGTGGGCGCAATTTCCTCAATGTTACGATAGATGTTCTCGAGCACAAGTCGTGGTTCGAGGTGGGCATTTCACTAGCGCTAATTGCTAGCGTTGTTGTGCATTCTCCACATCTATCAGATATGGGGATTTGGTGTGAAAGCAGAGGAGCGAGACCGCTCGGATAGTCATGATTCTACCTGTAAGGTTGAGATCGGGAGTTTCGTGGCGCGCCGTCAGGGCACCCGTCCTTGAATGGGTGTAGACCTAGTAAAGTTAGCTGCTGTATCTCAGGCGCCGAGCCCCAGGGGTATCCAGACGACGTGGCTCATCCTGAAGATTACGAGCAGTCTGCTATGTGGTGGCAGCGTGCTGCGTTCGCTGGTATAGCAGGGACTATCATCCTTGGGTAGGCGGAGCGATCCAAGCCCTTATTGTTAGTTTGGCGCTGTTCTAGGTACATGGCAACTGGTTGGAATCCCCCATTTGAGATTCAGATGTCGTAGCGGGAAACCTGACTGTGCGTTTCTGTGTTAGTCAATCTTGAGTTGTTTTGATGGTCTTGCGCTCAATATCGAGTTATCCTTTTTTCGCAGTTTTTGAATCTGAGAGATTACAGGTTCAATAGATTCGCCATGGAAGATACAAGTAGGTTGATCTGAACTCATGCATAAAAGGATGCGAGTTCGTTTCGGTAGGTTATTATATGATATTTGCTGCCTTCTGGGTCCTTCTCGGAATAGCCTATTACATCTGGTACGCGAAGCAGGTTAGTGATAATTTAAGTGCAGCACGGAAGATCAATGGTGTGGTAGGTCCTCATCACTTTTGCCATCGTAATGTTGGTATTGTTCAGAAACCCAAGAAGCGTGCCCGCGAGAACTGGACTATCAATCAAATGTGATGTTTTATCGAGTAGTTTCATCATTTTTCCGCCTTGTGTTGTTGCCGAGTGGTCGAGTGAATGCGGTCGTCCTCAGTCGTGACAAGGTCAGATTGGTCGTTTCGAGTAGATATAGACGAATTGGAGGTATGAGGTAATGCGACATGCCTTACTTGTGGTGATCACGTCATTACAGTAGTTTGTGAGAAAATCAGAGCCACTTCCTGGTCACCACTCTTAGCTGTGATTCATAGCGGGCATGTAAGACTCTCTGATGTATCGACTGTGTGCCCTGAGTGTAAGCATTTCATCTCTCATACATAACTACTGCTTCCGTAGCATGCCACTACAGTGTGTATTGTAGTTCGCTACTGTGACACATATTGCAAGTATAATTGCTACTCATGTACTCAACTGGAACACAACAGTACCGGGAATGGCGTACTAATCATACAATATGCTATTACTGGACTACTACTATTCTATCACTCATATCGAGTACCTGCATAGCAAGGCTTCGTTCATCAACCCACAACCGAATGCTTACCCTTTATGGGCCTTTTTCCCCCACTTGATATCACCATTGGGATCCAAGACCTCCGTAAATTCCCGAATTTTATCGCCACTCCCATCAGTCTCGTCAACTAGACCATCAATCGGCTTATGCATAACAATACGGCGAATCCGATCGGATAGGAGACCATTAGAGCTCTTGTTCGGCAACCTAATGACGAGCACGTCGTACTGGGTTTACAGCGCCTGAGTATATCACTTTCTCAACCCCTTCTTCGAGTCGAGCACATACACCGTCTTGTTGATGGCATGGGCCGCGAGCACTTCAACGCGCTGATTAAGATAAGCTCTAACATCAAATTTCCCTGGTCTTCTACCTGAGGTCCTGTCAGGTCCACATCGTCGGATGAATTTGTCACTAGAACCACTGCATGGCAGAGGGCAATGTACGTTGGTATCTGTACGAGGATCTCGATAGGACGCTACTCGTCGGTTAGCACTCACTCCGTTGGCACCGGCGTCTCTCGGTCCCTTCATTGACTGGAACTTCGTCAAGTGTCCAGGCAGCATGAAGTACGTTCGCCGACGCAGATCGTGAGATACTGAGAACCCACGCAAAATGAGCGGAGCGGAGCAATTCATATTTCTCACCATCTTTAGATTTTCCACACCAGCGACCTAAGGAGGCCAACATTGGGATAGCCGCCGAAAGCGGTCGGGTGTCTGGACAGTACGAAAGATAGATTGAGTGCGTGCATAGTAAAATTACCTCTATCATACTCGGCTGAGCGCCGCCGGTCCGACGTGCCGTGACGGTCATCATCCCGCGAACCTCTGTCACTACCGTCAGTCCGTGATCTTTTATCACTATCTACTTTCCGATCGGGGGATCGCTTCCTCTTATGAGATGATCGATCTTCGAGCAACTGCATGATAGTTACGAACAAAATGGATGACTATTATTACCAGCGGGGCATCCTCGTCGAAGGGATCCACACTGGCCGACCCATCATCAGATGTGTGACTGACTTCAGCTTGATTATCTACATACGTGCATGCTCCTAGACCAAGTGAGTGGAAGAAGCCATTACCAGGCATAAAAAGGGGATCCGGATTGAGCTGTGTCCGAGGATAAGATACGTAGAAGACGTTGGAGTCTACAAAGTCCTTCGGAAGAGACGAGGCCGAACACTGAACATAATCACTTTCGGTATGATATGCGCGCAGCGCGAAGAATTCAAAGATTCATTTTCCCTTGAGTTGTACTACCAGCTTCTTGGCTAAGTATTCATCCCTGTCTCTCCGATCTCCTTTTATATCCTCCCAATTAGTGAGATGTTTGCTCGACAGCACACATGGCATCGGACACAACTGCCACTGCTCGAGATACGACAACGAAACGGAGACCCGATTGTCTCTTATGCTCCTAAAAGGAAACGAATCACAACAGAGGTGACGATTCCTGTCTTACCGTATTTGCTGTAGAGTCGGGACGATTTGGCTGTTGCGATAGCTTGTTAGCACCTTTACATTCTCGGGTTTAACTTTCTTCGTGACATCACCATCTAAGAGAACCTAAGCGAGGAGGAAGTCCATCGGATGTGGTTGATGATGATGATGTTGTTGCTTACAACGTAACGCTGTAGCTGCTTGTCGAAGTCCTTACATTCACCGATACTACCATTGAGTTTATAGGCGGCGATGAGGCCCTGAAGAAAGGAGACCCCGAAGGGCAAAATGCGAGCTCTATGGTGAGTAAAGAAAACGATGATAAGAGTATTCAATGACGGCAATACACTGGATGCCAATTGGTATCTACTAGATGAATATCAATGGTAAGGGCCGTTACGATGGTGAACTACGCCCCACGATAGAGGTAAGCGTACATGGTCCATAGAGAGCTCATGTGTTAGTCCTTTTCACGGAGGGTGATAGGCTCAAGTATCCTGAAACGCCCAAACCCAAGACTACAAACCTTTTATTTCGATGATGACCTATAAGGAAGAGTCCCCACGAACAGTACTTGCAGTTCGACGACGCAGCCTGTGAGAAGACGTCGTAGGTTGGGCCCTCTGACTCGCTTCGTCACGTTGGTTTCATCCAGTCTCACATCATACCTATAGGGGAAGTAGTATGGAAATATCTTCAAGTCGGGTCCCTCCTACCTCTGTGATAATTGGTCGAATCTGACTATCCTACCAGTTTGGCCGTCTAGCCCAGGATAGTCGCGTAGGTCAACAAGTCTTACAGCGTCGCCTCTTTCGATACCAGTTATATCCTCATCGTTATGAATGCTCATGGGAGAGTCAGAAGGAGATGGTAGTGCCGTCATCGTTAATAGAAGCTATTGGCTTGGACGTGAGATAAGGGTGGAATTTCGTGGCGCGTGAAGTTTTTTTGTAATTTCGTGGCGCGTGACATTTTCATCACGATGCCAGTCGGGTCGTTCGATTCGGGCTCTCTAATGCATTCGAACACCTCGAGCCCTACGGTTAGTCTAGGGAGCCGCGAGGGTTACCCTCGGGACCCTCATTCACTTCTGTAGTACAGTGGGGTGATACAGTAACTGTATCACATCCTTGTTTTGCTCGCGCGGGACGTAGTTCTGAAATTTTATTTGGGAGAGAACTTTTTTCTGTAGACGAGGCTGCTGTACTGGAAGAGTAACCCCGAGTTTGTGCCCCAGTAGAGCTTCTCTTTCCGTTGAATACCTAGGCTTAGGTGGCAAACATAATTTGGAGACGCCTTGTAACGTCGTAACGCTCGCATCTTAAAACGCCCAGCCGCCTGGTAAAAGCCTCAGATGATCGCTGAGCACATTCTGAGTCAGCTCATTGGGTTCGCTCTCTGGGTCCGTCGATTCGAATGTAATTCTTTTTGATGTAGTTTTTACTCACTATAATGTCTACCAATGGCGTCACCGGTTCGAACGTCTCTCAAGTGATCACCGCGGAGCTTTCATTCGATGATACACGAGAGCGTCCAGCACGGAGGCTAGCATTTACCTCGTTGACTCGCTCCGACAAGGGTGTTCGCTTTTTCCTCGACCTGTTCATAGTGTACGTGTCGGTCATCATAGACTTCATGGGTTATACCCTATTGGCGCCTCTTCTCTCTACCATAGTTGACCAACTGGGCAGTGGTGGGTTCTCTGATGACGCCTTTGCAGCGTCGTGGTTGATGGCGATGTACGGCCTTGGTCAGTTTATCTCTGTGATGATAATGGGCCCCCTCTCGGATCGAGTGGGCCGGAGGCCGGTATTCATCCTAGCCTATTCGTTGACATCACTGGTCTACCTTATACAAGGCTTTTCCAACTCGTATTGGATGTTCGCAGTTTTGCGACTGTGTAACGGCTTGACGACTGGGACGAGACCTGTGACCTTCTCATATCTAGGGGACATCGCTCCACCAGAGAAAATGCCGCTGTATTCGTCTCTGGCGGGGGCGATGGTTGCCATAGGCGCCTTGATGCCTTTGCTAGGGGGCAGTATGGGGACCATCACTTGGCGACTACCAGTCTTCTTCTCTGCTGGTATCACCTTTATCATGGCATGTTTGGCCTTTATTTTCCTCAGGGAGTCCCTAAAGAAGGGCAGTACGGTTGTCGATAGTGGAGGAGTGGCCAATGGTGGTGTTAGAATGGGCACCAGTATAATGCGTACACCTCTTTTCATCGTGACTCTAACATTGATCGCTCTAACAGGGGCATGTGTCCAGTATGGTAACATCAGTATCATCACGACGTTACCTTGGTTGCTGAATCAGGTCTACGGGACGCCGTTGAATACGGTAGGCCTTATCCTAGGTTCTCAAGCTATACCCACATCCTTAACTCTATTTTTGGTATTCCTGCCACTGTCGAAGCGCGTTCCCATGTCTATTCTGGCCATGATCGGAATGCTGGGACATGCCACTATGTTCATACTGCCTTTGCTCGGTAACGTCTATGGTGTAATTTTCACGTCGTATTTGCTCAACTTCGGTAATTCCATGGTATACTCCTCGGTCCCGGTAATGGCGAAGGTAATAGCGCCAGCTCCGAGGCGAGGTTTGGTCAATGGTATTGTACTCGCCTCTATGCTGCTGGCTGGGGCGGTCGGCCCGTTGATCGCAGGAGTGCTCTGGGATGCGGATTCAGAACACATCACGGCATTCGCGGTAGTCTCTGGTGTAGCTGCTCTTGGTGCTGTGTGCATGCTATTTACATGGCGCCTCATTCCGTTGTTGATGACGAGGGTAGCTAGAAGGGCCGAGGAGGACCTCACGGATGAGCAGATAGAAAACCTCTATGAGGAGCTTGCTGATCTACAGGGTATGAGAGAGTGCCGTATGAAGCTGGCGGCTCACATCAAGCACCGAAAAGGGGTCGCCCATAGAGAGGACGCAGCTGTTGAGGAAGCGCTGAGGATCACGAGAGCCCTCAGTTTATCAGATCTCAAAATGGGTACTAGCCCTCATAGCGACGAAGATATTTGGAGACTGGGTTGTGATGTGAGTGCCATACTTGACAGGAATAACTGGAATCGCTGGCCTCACTATTATGAATGGATACTGGCCCAGGTTGGTAGTGCCTTTCCGCCGATAAGAGAGGCCCCTGAACAAGATAGATACGAGGACGTCACATGGGTCATGCAGAAGCACTTGGAAATAGTGTCAGAATGGGAGAAGCGGCAACTCAGCAAATTCAAAAAAGATCGATAGCGGTTGAGGGGACGAAGCATGTAAGTGAAAAGTTGAATTTCAATTCTGTTTAATACTCAACGTACTATTGGCTTACCCGGCGAAGCTCTTGAAGCCAATTTTCTGTCATAATTTTTGAGATCTGTTCTTAGTACTATTATCATCTAACTTGTTTTTCCTGTTGCGTTCTAGCCATGTGCGTGTCAGAGTGTTGATGGATCTGGCCTAGGGCGTTCAATTTCAATGGATCCAGCCTCCAAGGTTAATGACGGAGGCGGAGGAGGAGAACCGTCCAGTTCCTCGGTATCGGCTCTATTGCCAATGTGGGCCTTGGTGGAAGGAGTAGCGGACACCAGTCTGGGAGAGCTACAACAGGCTTTGGAGTCGGAAAACCCTACGACAGTGTGGACCGCAGTGAGGCGCCTTCGGGAACGTGCAATTGCACTGCATGTGGCCTGTGGGTATTTCCTGGGTGCTCATGGTGGGGCTCGAGCGTTGGCGGAAGGCCGGCGTAAACAGCTGGACTACGATAATAAAGTCCATCTGAATGAGCGTATAGGGGAGGAAATGGTACCGTTGAGGCTGTGGACCAGGGGCCAAGCCAGAGACCAGCAGTGGAATGTACGAGATGCTGCTACGGTACTTATGGGAGGTGATAGGAACTTCCTACCAGAGTTGACGGCTGATCTAGTGGGTAGTATAGGGAAACCCTATGTGGTGTCATCTTCGTTAACGATGAATCCAGAGGCGCGGAGCCAAGCCCAGGAGTACCTTCATCACCAGCTGAGCCTATATAACGTACAAGCTAGACTCCCGGAAGGGGCGCTATTCTCGGTAGACTCTCATACTGACACCATACTGCTGGCCTCTCGCACTGGTGGGTTCTCGGTTCGGGCTATTTACGATTTGTCCTCTTGGACGATATTGGACGTACGTGTACATCGGAAACGGAGGACGGCATGTCGCATCGTATTGCAGGCGGTGATGGATCAGCTGGTTCGGGAGAAGAGCGATGAAAATGGCCTGAGAGTGATGTACACGTGTGTGGCGAGGATGGCCGCTCAGTTGCAGTTGAGGAGTCTCCTTCAGCAGGCAAGGGATCTGATGAGCTCCTCACCGGAAGGGCCCATATGGGGTGTGGAAAAGGTTGGGGACGATTCGACCGAGATGGAGAATTTCGTAAAGAGGATGGAAGTGAAGCTGTGCCCGGGTGCGGTGGTGACCACGAGCCAGGCGGGGAAGTGGTCGCCAATGATAGTTTGGTCCGCAGGGGACTCCGGGGTCAAGGCGAGCCTCATGGGGGACTGGCTCTGTCCGGACCAACTAGAGGTAGTAGTAGTAGAACGAGAGGCTGCTGCTCATGTTAGATGGCGTGGTTACTTAGGTGCTCCCGGCTGACTACCTCCCAGCTAGTGACCTGCCCCGTTGTGTGGACCTAGCCTTTGGTCTTGTTCAACGGCAGACTCTGATGTCGTTGAAAGGCTCACTAAGAGGCAACAACAGTGCGAGTTTACGGCAGACTAATGATGGTGATGAGACGTCATGGTCGTTGGTTTTGCGACGGCCATCAGGGAGTTTGTGTGCTGTTGTCTCCTTGGATAAGACTGGCCGTTTAGTAGTGGAGTCACCCTTGTTGCCCTCGGTGGACCCTCTTGTTGTTACTTCTTTATCACACGCCCTGGCCCTACTTGATCGGCAACTGCCCTTCCTTGCTAACGTTGAATCTTCGGACCATAAGGCCGAGGTCAACGGCTGGCACCGAGTTGCATGGCCCTACGGTTTCGCCTCGCCTCCTGAGAGTGAGCTGTTACCAACAGAGCCCACCGACGTTTACCGCACTGTACAGCAGACTAGAGATGCCTGCGATTTCCGCGCGGCCTATGCTGTTGCTGAGGTCCCTGGGGTATTCCTCACGATGCTCTATTCGTTCCCTCCACTCAACGACGACCCGCCCTCGGTGGGGTTCATCGGTATGACTGTGAATCCCCGCCTGATCAACGTGGGATCGGCCGACCACAACCGGGATGTTTTCACAGCAGCCAGCCAGACTATATACTCAGCAGGGCGATACCATAAGGGCTACGCGAGGCCACTGCGTATTCTGGCATCAGTTGGGTCGACTCTACGGAAACTGTTGCCCCCGGATGAGTTCTCATTGGAGCTCTCCTGGCCCCCAGTGAAGAGACCAGATACTGGTGATGGCGAAGGCAACGTGTATGGGCATATGTTTGTGTGGAGGAGGAACGACAAGGTCATCGGGGGCCAGCCTCTCGTGGAGCAGGAGTCGTCACCGGACGTAGAGGACTCGCCTGATGATGATGATGACGAGAGCCTGCTGTCCTCGGGAGGGACTCCAGAGACTGTTGAGGAAGGCCAACAGTTGGAGCCTCCCAACTTAGCTTGTGTGGCAGAACCAACAGTACACGTATTTATCAGTGACGATGAGGAGGTAATGAGGGCAGGAGTGTGGGGCACTGGGAATCGACGTTTCCACGCTCGTTAATTTCCACGACTTAGGTACCCTGGAGGATCCGCCTGTCGTTGATCCCTGGTTCCCTTATAGTCATGCAAGATGCCTCCGCCCCTGATGCCGAGCCCCCATCGTGGCCCTCTAAGATGGCAGCTGCTGCCAATAACGATTCTCTCAATAACATGCACGTCATTGCCCCCCAGACCCCCGCTCCGACAACGGCAGCGTTCTTGTCGGATGACTGGGAGTCCCCACCGCCTGGTGATGATACACCAGTTTCCAATCAAGTGATTCGGATGCTGTCCGGGGCGAGGGCCGTTCTACGGAGCTATTCGGCTGCCCCTGCTGGTGGCCTCGTCGCTACTGGTTTGGTCATTGAGTATGGCACACTCGGGGCCCTTGGTCGAGATCTGCACCAGTTGGTTCGAATGGCTGAGTGGATCTACCAGGCGAGGATGGTAGCTCGGTACCATGAGGGCATGCAGTTAGTCTCGGCCGACCTAGAGGCTATACGCCTGTCACTCTCGCCGACCTGTGGGACGGAGGATGATGTCTTTGAAGTGTTCCTGTCCGACGTTGGGAGGTCCTTACGACCAGCATTGGATTGCTGCACTGAAGGTCTGGGCGTGAACCTCAAGTGGATCCAACCGTCGTTGACAGATTGTGTAGTGCCTCAGTTGGAGCTGTTTGCCAACCTGCAGATGGTGACTGCCACTGCGGGTGACTTTGCCGGTCCACTGGCCCGTTTGGCAGCCTATATAGAACTGTGCAGGGCCACTCAATATGGGCTTGCCGCTGTACCGTCGAAGGCAGAAGCGATAGGGACGGGGGTAAGGCCTCCTGGTCTGGCTGACGGCCTCCCGATGCCAATGTGGGAACTATGGCCGAGGAATCAGATGGCCTTGGACATGGTATATGGCCGTACTTACCTATTTGAGTTCACTGCAATGCTGGGTGGGTACTTGGCAGTTCGGACCAATAACCGATATAAGCAGCCCTTGGTGCCTCTGCCGGCACCTGAGAGGTTCTTCCGGATGGTAACGGCAACGAAGGCTGGTGTTGTCAGTGATCACTTCCTACCTCTGCGGGACACTGAGTTTCGGGTACGATTTCAGCCTGGCAAATTATACAGTGGCATCCTGGAGCCATTGGGAGTCTATTGTTGGTACTGTCATATCATTACGACCATCGCAAATGGTGTGCTGCCCACCGATTGCCCTAGGGAGGATCGGATGTCTGCCGACTCGGCACCAGATAGCGAGCCTTGGAGGGTTCTGTCGTGGAACACCTTCGAGGGTAGTGTGGTGTGTCGGGTTGTACTGTATGCCGATGGGGCCAGCAGGACCTTCCAATTGAAGTTGAATATTGACAAGGTCCCCGGACGGCCAGAGACGCAGCTTCTCAATCGGTATTTGGTGGCTTCCTCTGTGTTGGTGGAAGAGTTTACTGATTTATGTCGAACACCTACAGTGATCGCAGCACCGAGCTACATATTGAAATTGTTGCGGCCAGGTGTGCCATGGGTCGCTGTGTGTGAGGTGGCAGCATTGGTTCGGAAGGAACGACGGGACCGTGAGACTCTGCGGCAGATCGACTTGACCAAATCGGCCTCGTGTCAATGGCAAATCGACTGGCAGGATTTGAGTACGCCCCGACCACCAAATGCCACCAACTCCTTCGTCATGCTTCTTAATCTTACTGTTCGATTGAATATGCCAAACCAATCTCATATACTGCGATCGGCTAAGTTGACATTTACTGTTAGCTATAATAACATTGTAAACTGGCATGGTTGGGATGTGGTCCATGTGACGAGCCTACATGACAAGAGAGCTGCCCATCTCAGCGAGATAGTAGGGGATATGCAGCGACCGCCGTATCGACTGGAGGCCCATTTGGATGGTATTTGGAGCCAACTGGTCAGCTGGATGTTTTCACGAGGCTCTCCGAGTCCACAACAGCATTGATTGATCGTTTCCACCACTGAACGTTTGCCATAGCTTCTCTGGAGTGTGGTGTTTGGTACTGCGCTGTGAATCGATCACAATGGCGTAGCGAGAATTCAAAAGCATCTTTGGCTAGGAAGGGCAACATGATCAATTTCCTATATTGCAACTTTGTAGTTTTCCTCTAGGGTTTTTCGACAATGGCTACTCGTACTGATCGCACTTTCATTATGGTCAAGCCTGATGGCGTCCAGCGTGGGCTCGTCGGCCGAATCATTCAGAGGTGGGCTTTTCCTGAGTTTTGGTTGTAGAGTTTATGCACTTGTCTTAGGTTCGAGAATAAGGGCTTCAAGTTGGTCGCTATGAAGATGTGCAGTCCCAGCGAGGAGCACTTCAAGAAGCACTATGCTGACCTGTCCGATAAGCCTTTCTTCGCTGGTCTTGTCAAGTACATGCAAACTGCCCCTGTTGTCGCTATGGTATGGGAAGGTCTTGACGCTGCTGCAGAGGGCCGTAGACTTCTGGGTGCTACCAAGCCCTCAGAGTCTGCTCCTGGTACAATCAGAGGCGACTTTGGCCTTGAGGTTGGCAGGAACCTTATCCACGGCTCTGATAGTCCCGATTCGGCCGCTAAGGAAATCGCTTTGTGGTTCCCTGAAGGCGTCAACGAGTGGAAGAAATGCGACTACCAGTGGGTCTATGAGGGTTAAACCTAGGAAGGGTGGAGACTGTATCACTGTCGAGCATTTTTCTAAGTGTTGGGATGGTTTCCTCTCGCTCGTATCTGTTTTGTGTTGTTTAGTGTAATGTCCGATCCTAACGGAAAACCTGGATTGTAAAATCAAGTCTTTCGAGTGGGTCTCTTGTGGCGTGTTTATATCTTTTGAATAAGGCGTCTGTTTCTTTCGTGCCGCAAGGGGCCGAAGTCAACTCTCCGGGGTTCATCGGGGTTAGGAGAATTGTTGCACAGTGTGGGAATCAGTATATGATTTTCGCTCAACTACAGTGTTCTCTCAGTCATATCAAGGGTAGTATTGGGTTCTAGAAAGGCAGCATCTGGGTGTCGTCGCTTGAGGAATCATTGTCAATGTGAAACAGCGTGGGAAGGAAGGTGGTCGTACAATACTAACAAGTCGTGCAGTCGATAGTAGAAAGTTATATATGCGAGCACATG